TTCGAATGGTCTGAAAAATGGCAGATGAAATTCAACGTCGACAAATGTAAAGTACTCAGTATAGGAGATGTTAACGGGGAAACCAGATACCAGATGAACAACGATGCCATAGAGAAACCCGACTGCGAGAGAGATTTAGGAGTAATGATAAGTAGGAACCTTAAGCCAAGTAAACAATGTGTTTTTGCTCGTAACAAGGCTAATAAAGTACTTGGGTTCATACAAAGGAGTGTTAGTTACAAGATTAGCGAGGTCATCCTAAAACTGAATCTTGCTCTTGTGAGACCACACCTGGATTACACAGTTCAGTTCTGGTCACCGTATTACAGAATGGATATAGAATCCTTGGAAAGAATTCTGAGGAGAATGACAAGACTAATCCCGGGCATTAGGAACCTTGAGTATAGAGACAGGTTAAAGCATCTTAATTTGCACTCCCTCGAGAGACGTAGAGCGAGGGGCGACTTGATAGAGGTGTATAAGTGGAAGGCAGGGCTAAACAAAGGGGACATTACAAAGGTACTCAAACTATCCAACCAGGAGCGAACTCGTAACAATGGTTTTAAATTAGTCAAATTTAGATTTAGGCGTGAAATAGGTAAACACTGGTTTGGAAACAGAGTAGTGGATGAATGGAACAAGTTACCAAATATCATCATTAACTCGAATAAGCTGAATCGCTTCAAACATAGGTTGGATGCTTATATGAGCAATAGGGGTTGGGTGTAAACGGAACTGCCCAGTATGGGCCAATAGGCCTGCTGCAGTTTCCTCCATTCTTATGTTCTTATGTTATTATATTCACATAGAGTACTACTTTATAAACTTACAATTGACATATTAACACCCCCATTCGATATTCAAAAAGCATATTCCTTTTATTCGCAAAGAAAAATGATGATACCCTACAGTAAAACAGTGGGATTTCATTTTGTGAGAGTATATCGTACTAGTACGAGTCAGTGCGTGTGAAATCCGCACACGCGATGCCCTTTAACACATGTTAAAATCGCTATATAGTACTGGACTCACCAGACCTTTACGCTAAAATGACTTGGGTAACCAACTTAACCTTCCAAGATGACACATAAAAAGCATCTACAATATTAAGTAAATGTTTTATGAAAGCCCAGGATATTAATTATGTGATACTCCATCTCCACTGAATAGTGGTGGTGTGGGAAGCTCTGGGAAACGATGTGGGTCCGAGGTGAGGGTCTGAGGACTAGTCAGATTCAAAGTCCTCAAAATCAATTGCAGATACTTGTAAAGTGACTTCAGCTTCATCACCAATCTCCAGAGCGACACGGTCCTCATCACTGGATTCTCCTTGATCTTCATCACATTGTTGAGGCAATCATGAGGGACACTTGAATCAGGAGCGGCTACGATCCCGACTTTGGCATTCCTTCCCCCCTCTATGATGTGTGTGTTAACTCCAGTGCACGAAAAAAAAAAACATTTTCTTAATGTTTTTGACTTTATGATAATAATTTGGGTATTTATTATATATTTTTGCACATTCTGCATGAATGATTGTGTGTGCATGCGGTACATTATAATATTAAAGAATGAGCTGGACAAAATTCTACAATCACGGGTGTCCCAGGAACCCATTCCTTGCAAATGCTAAAGTGCCAGTGTAGTTCCATCAACAAACACACTCAACATGTGTTAATAACAACACACACTCAACGTGTGATAATGCAACACTCACTCAACGTTTGTTAATAACAACACTCACTCAACATGTGTTAATAACAACCCTCACCCAACATGTGTTAATAACAACACTCACTCAACATGTGTTAATAACAACACTCACTCAACATGTGTTAATAACAACACTCATTCAACGTGTTAATAACAACACTCATTCAACGTGTTAATAACAACACTTACTCAACATGTGTTAATAACAACCCTCACCCAACATGTGTTAATAACAACACTCACTCAACATGTGTTAATAACAACACTCACTCAACGTGTGTTAAGACAACACTCATTCAACGTGTTAATAACAACACTCACCCAACATGTGTTAATAACAACACTCACTCAACATGTGTTAATAACAACCCTCACCCAACATGTGTTAATAACAACACTCACTCAACATGTGTTAATAACAACACTCACTCAATGTGTGTTAAGACAACACTCATTCAACGTGTTAATAACAACCCTCACCCAACATGTGTTAATAACAACACTCACTCAACATGTGATAATAAAAGCACTCACTCAACATGTGTTAATAACAACACTCACTGAATGGGTGTTAATAACAACACTCACTGAATGGGTGTTAATAACAACCAGTGGTGGGCACGGTTCCGCTAACCGCTAATTAGCGAAGCAAACTTTCTCGTTAGTGAATTAGCGTTTTCGCTAACTTTGGAAACCATTAGCGGACCAATTAGCTTCCACTAAATTTAGTTCCGCTAACTTTAAGTCCGCTAACAAAATTTATGCATGTTTGTTCCTGTCTGTTGTAAGAGTGTGACGCTTGGCTGACTGAGTGTTAGTACGTGAAAAGTTTAGTTTTCTGTTTATCGATATTTACACGACTAAGACCAGCAATAAGTTACAGTATATAAAAATGCACTGGTATAATGTGTATGTGGTTGGTATTGCATATTTACATGAATAATGAATAAGGCCAATAGGTTGTATGAGAATGTAAATTAATTATTTGTGAAATTGTGTACAGTGTACACCTTGATAAGTTGATCATCATCTGATCTTGGAATGATGCCATTTGCTAGCCTATGCTATACAGTACTATAGTTTTTGGATTCATTTAATTCTTTCTGTCTTTTCGTACAGTAAATAAAGATTATAAAGTGTATGTTGAAAATTGAATGTAAACTAATGTTTAATTTCATTTGTTCATTTAATTATTTGTGTACACCTTGATCATCATCAGATCTTAGCATGCTATACCTTTTTGGAAAGCTCTATGTCTAAGCAACAGGACAACATATGAAAATTTCAGGTCTCTAGGTCTGTTTTTAAGGGTGTTAGAGCCACCCCCCCCCCAAAAAGAAGCTAAATTCATATAATAAAAGTTAGCGGTTAGCGTTAGCTTCCGCTAATATTTTTTAGCTGTTTAGCGGTTTAGGGTTAGCAAAGTTAATTTTTGGTTAGCAGATTAGCGGTTACCAAAACTAACTTTTCGTTTAGCTGTGCCCACCACTGATAACAACAATCACTCAACATGTGGTAATAACAACACTCACTCAACATGTGTTAATAACAACACTCACTCAACATGTGGTAATAACAACACTCACTCAACATGTGTTAATAACAACACTCACTCAACATGTGGTAATAACAACACTCACTCAACATGTGGTAATAACAACACCCACTCAACATGTGTTAATAACAACACTCACTCAACATGTGTTACTAACAACACTCACTCAACATGTGTTAATAACAACACTCACTCAACATGTGTTAATAACAACACTCACTCAACATGTGTTAATAACAACACTCACTCAACATGTGGTAATAACAACACTCACTCAACATGTGTTAATAACCCCACTCACTCACATGTGGTAATAACAACACTCACTCAGCATGTGTATGCTGCTTACTCACTCCAGCAGTGTGTATGTAACCTCCTCAACATGTGTTAATAACAACACTCCTCAACATGTGTATGTAACACTCACTCAACATGTGTTAATAACAGCACTCACTCAACATGTGGTATAACAGCACTCCCACTCCAGCCTGTTAATAACAACCTCCTCCAGCATGTGTGTAACAACCTCCCAACATGTGTTATGTAGCACTCCTCAGCATGTGTTAGCTAACCTCACTCAACATGTGGTAATAACAACACTCACTCAACATGTGTTAATAACAACACTCACTCAACATGTGGTAATAACAACACTCACTCAACATGTGTTAATAACAACACTCACTCAACGTGTGTTAATAACAACACTCACTCAACATGTGTTAATAACAACACTCACTCAACATGTGTTAATAACAACACTCACTCAACATGTGTTAATAACAGCACTCACTCAACATGTGTTAATAACAACACTCACTCAACCTGTGTTAATAACAACACTCACTCAACATGTGTTAATAACAACACTCACTCAACATGTGTTAATAACAACACTCACTCAACATGTGTTAATAACAACACTCACTCAACATGTGTTAATAACAACACTCACTCAACATGTGGTAATAACAACACTCACTCAACATGTGTTAATAACAACACTCACTCAACATGTGGTAATAACAACACTCACTCAACATGTGTTAATAACAACACTCACTCAACGTGTGTTAATAACAACACTCACTCAACATGTGTTAATAACAACACTCACTCAACATGTGTTAATAACAACACTCACTCAACATGTGTTAATAACAACACTCACTCAACATGTGTTAATAACAGCACTCACTCAACATGTGTTAATAACAACCCTCACTCAACATGTGTTAATAACAACCCTCACTCAACATGTGTTAATAACAACCCTCACCCAACATGTGTTAATAACAACACTCACTCAACATGTGTTAATAACAACACTCACTCAACATGTGTTAATAACAACACTCACTCAACATGTGTTAATAACACTCACTCAACATGTGTTAATAACAGCACTCACTCAACATGTGTTAATAACAGCACTCACTCAACATGTGTTAATAACAACACTCACTCAACATGTGTTAATAACAACACTCACCCAACATGTGTTAATAACAACACTCACCAACATGTGTTAATAACAACACTCACTCAACATGTGTTAATAACAATGCTCGCTCAACGTGTGTTAATAACAACACTCACTCAACATGTGTTAATAACAACACTCACTCAACGTGTGTTAATAATAACACACTCAATGTGTGTTAATAACAACGCCCACTCAACATGTGTTAATAACAACACTCACTCAACATGTGATAATAACAACACTCACTCAACATGTGGTTATCCATGGGGCTTGTTGCAGGGTCTTGTTCAGTCTCTGGGGTGTCTGCTGCTTGTTGTTCCAGTCGTCTCTGTTGATGCAAGTGTTGGTGTTCCTGCTCTTGGTTGACCAGGCTGTTAAGGCGGTCAGCCATCCGTTGTAATATTTGCCTGTTGAGGAATATGTGGCTATCACATTTTGAAGCAGCTTCTAAAAAGAAACATTATCCTGAGGGTGAGGTGCCTCTACATATTGTTTCTAGTAGAACATTTGAATTAATAATATTCCTTATGACTTTAGTTAGCACCCTTAGTAGTCAAATACAGTCCGGTCTCTCCTCGACTTACGACATACTTAACTTACGACAACCCGGACATACGATCACGACAGCTGTGGTCGTATAAAATATTTTTCACATTACGTATTTTCAAGTCCCGAAACGTTTTGTTGTAATGTGACCCAGTACGACAGGGTGGGCCGGGCCGCCTCGTGGTGTACAGCATCCACTCCGTAGTCACTCAGTTGTTGTTTGGCCGTCGTTGTTGTTGTTAGTAATCGTGCTGTGTATACTGTAAATTTTTTTGTTTCTAATTCCCTTTAAAATGACTGGCAAACGTAAAAGTGAAAGTACTCGTGGTGCTGAGAAGAAAAGGAGACAGTCAATTACTTTTGAGATGAAAATGAAAATAATAATGCAATATGAAAATGGAAAAAACGGTAGCAACCATTTTATGCGACCTTGGCTTCTCTCACTCGACGATATCAACAATTTTGAAGGACAAGGAACGAATTCGTGAGGTAGTGAAAGGATCAGCACCTATAAAGGGAACAATAAAAACGAAAAAAGAAAAGGTTCTCTTCATGAGATAGAAAAATTACTTGTGATGTGGATGGGAAGATCAGCTGCAAAAGCAAGTACCCTTAAGCCTTCTAACCATACAGGCTAAGGCAAGAAGCCTTTTCGAAAGCCTGAAAGAGCAGGCAGGAGATGAGTGCGACCAAAACTTCACAGCAAGTCATGGGTGGTTCCAAAGGTTTAAGAAACATTTCAGTTTGCACAGTGTAAAGGTGAGTGGCGAGTCAGTGAGTATTGATGTGGGTGCTGCCAAAGCCTTTTAAGGAGCTAGATCATGTCATCGTGGAGGGAAATTATTTGCCTGAGCAAATATTTAATGTGGATGAAACTGGCTTATTCTGGAAGCGCATGCCAGAACAGACATACATCCACAAAGAGGCGAAAACAATGCCGGGGTTTAAGGCATTCAAGGATCGAATCACACTTCTGTTGGGGGAGAATGTAGCTGGTTTCAAGGTAAAACCCTTCATGCTATATTATTCAGAGAACCCAAGGGCTTTTAAAAATGTCAACAAGCACACACTGCCAGTGTTTTATCGCAGTAATAAGAAAGCATGGATGACCCTAGCACTGTTTGAGGATTGGTTCCTGAGTTGTTTCATTCCACGAGCCAAGGAGTATTGTCTGCAACAAGGGGTTGCATTCAAGATTTTGTTAATTTTAGATAATGTTCCGGGACACCCACCACACCTGGACGACCTGCACCCAGATGTTAAAGTAGTCTACCTTCCACCTAACACTACCTCTATCATCCAACCCATGGATCAAGGTGCTATTGCTGCTTTTAAAGCATATTAATTACGTATGACCTTCGCTAAGCTGTTGCTGCTACTGAAGGTGAGAAAATGCTCAGAGAGTTTTGGAAGGACAACAACATTTTGCAATGTACAAAGAACATAACTGCAGCATGGGATGAAGTTACAGGTCAGTGCATGAATGGAATATGGAAAAAGGTCCTGAAAAGATATGTGAACAGTTTCAAAGGATTTAATGAAGATGAAGCAATTTCTGAGATAAGTAACAAGATAGTGCAGATGGGTCAACAGCTGGAGTTAGAAATTGATAATGAAGATGTTGAGCAGTTGGTGGAAAGTGTAGCTGAAGAGATAAGCAATGAGGGTCTTATTGAACTGGATGCACAGAAAATTGCAGAGGAAGAAGAGAGACAAAATGTAGAATAAGAACCTGCACCCCCCAAAAAATTTTCAGTGAAACAAATGGCAGAGGCATTTGCTAATTTTAACAAGGGGGATGCAAATGTTTGAAGAAATGGATCAAAATGTTGAGCGTTTTGCAAAAGTTGACAGACTGATCCAAGATGCACTTGCTTGCTACAGGGAGATTTACAATGAAAAGAAAAGGCAAACTGTGCAGTCTAAATTGGACATATTTTTTAAGAAGTCCCCCACTGCTGCCTCTCACTCCCTAAAGATGATCCAATACCTTCAACAAGCAAGTATGTTAGCCTGTCTGAAGAAAGCAAACTTGATGACCCACACAGCCCTGTCTCCTCCTCTGCTTCATCCAATTAATGTAGTCTCCATGCTTAATTAAAAAATTATTGAGGCCCCGTGTGCATTCAGCTGACTACATTAAAGGAAGTGCACAGTAACACTTTATTCATTTTTCATTATTGATTACTTTTACTGTACTATACAGGGAAGCCTCGGATAACAATGGTTTGACCAACAACCTTTTGTATTTGAAACCCTAGATAATTTAGGACCCAATTCAGCTTACATCCTTATTTCATTCGTATTTATAACCAAAATATATTAAAAATAAAATAAAATTACATTTTCAAATAAATAATAACTAAATCCCGATATGTATAATAAAAAAAAATTACTGAAAAAAAATGAAGAGCGCCTTGCACAAAGAAGCTGCCTTGCTCATGAGTGGTAAAAACAGGCGAAGCTTGGCGGGGCTTTTGTTTTCACACATCTGGAACAGGAACTGGAGAAAAACTTTCTCAGGTTTCTTACAACACTTTTGCATCCCTATTCAACATGAGCAATAGAGCAAGTGATGGTAGTGTTGTTTCAAAAGCTAATAGAAAGTGTCTAAGCTTAGCTGAGAAACTAGATGTGTTAAAACGATATAAAAAAGGTGAGAGGTCTGTGGATATTATATAGAGCAAGCAATGAACATAATATCTGAAGTGGATCCATTAACAGAACAAAGCATTAAAATTTAAATAAACGCAAATGACCTCTACATAAAGATGCGCAGGGTATAACGAGAAAAAAAAGCAGCTGTGCAAATTTCTTTCGACAGCTTTATTATTCGAAGGCCTAAACCATCAACTTCAGCTACACCATCAAATTCAGCATCATAAGCAGCTTCAAAATCAACTTCAGGTTCAGTAACAGTTTCAGCAACAGCTTTATGGAAAGCTACAGTTTCAGCCAGAATTGAAACTGATGACTTCGTCATCTGAGTAAAAACTCGCACAATATTCATTGGATGTCCTCATGTTTTAGACTTTACCGCCATTGGTGAATAGAATTTTAGTTTTACATTCATAAATATTATTTAAAACATATATGAACAGTAAATAAGTGTTGCTTTCATATTCATATGTTGAGGTAGGACGATATGTTTTAACATGTACTGTACGCACTTACTGCTCATACGGTGGCATTCCCAATCGTCTCGTCTTATTTCTTTACCATTAGTGGTTAGCTACTAGTCGTGTTCCATATACAGTCATGTGCCGGTTAACGTCCGATCGCATATACGTCCGTACTGAAAAAAAACAAAAAAAAGCACCAAGCGCCTGCTGGACCACCACTCCATGACCCCCTGACGGAGACACGATGATCCTCCCCATACTGGTCAGATATTATGTGTTAAAGGAATATGCTTCCTTAATTAGGCTTTTTTTAAACATTTGCCTCCAAGTGTAATGTTAACCTACATCTATTGAGGATAAAATCTTTCACCTACAAATTGACAATAACACATTTGCTGTAATCAGACATATCTAGTTGCAACCCCAATTGCAACTGCAGTTGCAATTGGGGTTGTA